GTTGCTTTGTGGATCTTTACTCATTTAGTTTTGGTCATTTTGAGTCTTTTAGTCGACTTGCTTTTTTTCCTGAACATTTGTTGTCATTTTGCGTGTCTTTGCATTCAGGCTTTGTCATTTCTTACTCCTTGAACTCAGTTTATAGTTTCCCCGCTACATTTACGTCTCTTTCCAGTTCGTTTGGGGTCATTAATCCTTGTCAAACTGTTTGCTTGTCTGTGTGCACATGCTGCAGAAGTCATTTAGGGAGGCTGTAGTAGAGACGAAGTGATATTTGCAAAGGTGAAGGGGTTGTTTGCGTCTGTGTCCACGTCTGAAAAACCAGCCGTTTTCTGGTTGTCACAGCAACAAAGAACCCATCTCCAAACGTCGCCGCGCAGCCTCTCCTTCGCTCCCCATCATCTCATTCTGCCCTTGCAGGCTTTGTGTGTCTGTCCGTGTCCTCGCACGCCTCCCGAGTGTGCAGCACGCCGAGTTAACGGGGAGAAAAGAGACGAGGAAAGATGTGGGGAGTGTGCAAAGCAGAGGAAACAGAAATAAATTGCAGCGCTGACCTATATTCACACTACCAGACAGTTCAGAAGCACAGATGTTCTTCCTTCCCTGCCTGTCCAACCACAACACCCGACTGCATGGATGGCAGCCTCCCTGGCCGAGTATTCCTCAGCATCAGAAGGTGGTGTTTGTGTTTATTTGTGTGTGCTGCTGCGGGCCTGTGTGGGAGGATCTGCACTGATTTCCCTGCTTAAAGCAGCACCTCGCCTATTCAGTCTCCGTGTTTCTGTCAGAGCGTGGATGCCACAGCGTTTCTGTCAGTAATCTGTATGTGGCAGGGCGATTATTTTCATCACCTCAAATCTTAAAGCTAATGGTGTACGCGTCAGCGAGGAAGGCCTCGGGTGTCTGTAGCTGCATTAAAAATGGTGGGTGGTTTAAAACATGTAATGAAGGATCTTCCAGTTGACATATGAATAGTTTTAAAATACACAACGCTTTGGATAAAAGCGTCTGCCAAATAAATAAACACAAACCAAACGTTTAAGTAGAATCAATAATCATTTTCAGAATATTTCAGCGTACAGCTGCAGGATGTACCAAAGAAAAATCTGCAACCAGATTCAAACACGTGATTTTACAACTAAGTCATGACTTGAAGGCATAGGCGTCATTTTAACCGGGGACGCCGGGGACATGTCCCCGGCAAAATTTGTGATTGGCAGCTGTGTCCCCCCCACTTTCAAAAACGCCTGCTGATGAGGATTTTTGTTTTACCAGCTCAGATCTTATACCGGGGTCGGCAACCTATTCCCATCAAAGAGCCATTATTACCTGTTTCCCACGGTAATTTTGGACAGACCTTAATAAGCAGTGACTTAAGTGAAGCAGGCAGGTCGCGCTAGAAAATTTCGTTTAAAAAGACGTCATAAATGTTTTCCCCCGTCTCTTTTATTACTAAAATATGAAGTAAAAACTCACAATTTAATTTTCATTCATTTGTCATTCATATGTAGTCTACACCCGTGCGTTAAGTGGATCATCTTCCAGTAAACGCACAGCATCCAGTCCACCTCTCCAAATGCGTAAAATGTGCATCAGCCGCTAGTTAGGCGCACGCGCACCATCAGCTGATCAGCCCAGACAAGAGCAGAGCAACTAGAGAAAGAATAGAGGATGATTGTGTCTGGATGTGGATGGAGATTACATTTTACAGCAGCCTGATCATCATTTAAATACGTAAACCATCACCTGTCTTCTAGTCCACGCTATCAGCATTATTTTATATTTTAATTGGTGTGTGTGTGTGTGTGTGTGTGTGTGTGTGTTTTCCACTTCAAACACTGGTCTAACCAACCAGACCAGCGTGTCCAGTAACATATTAATGTTACAATTAAACAGTTTCACTTCATGTAGGCTAGGAACGTTTCACCTGCCGTGGCCCGACCGCTTCTGCTCCACATAAACTTTGTGCGTGATCAAATGTCTCTACGCGTCATGCGGAACTAGACGGGAACAAGCGCTGTTCAGCCAAAGTTTCATAATTTCATAAAAAGAACATTTTCCAAGTGACACATCCCTCAGAGAGACCGGGTTTCCAGAACGCTTCAGTGGGAGGAAATCATCGCATGCGCGTGGTTCTGCACTGCGAACCCCAGATCTTCAGCTCACTGTCCACCGGGGGCGCTCCGAGCCGCGCTGAACACAGTGTCCAGTATAAAGAGCTCTGATGTTCTGATGGGAATATTTTACCTCCGCGTGTGCGTTAACGATTAAAATGTCAGCTCATCCATGAGCATCCGTGTGCGTCGGGGTAATTTTTTCAAACCAAGCAACATCCTTGAGTTCATCTGTCAAAATAAACAGTCAAATGGAAATATATGAAACCTGCCGTTTAACTGTTTTGCCTTCTTGTGAAGATTGTTGCAAAGAGAAACAATTAAACTTGATTAACCCCAGAGCCACCCAGAGCGCATGTGGGAAGGTTCCTCCCACTGAAGCGAGTGTTTTCCAAACCCTGTCTCTCAGAGAGACTTGTCACTTAGAAAATGTTCCCTGATTATGAAACTTTGGCTGAATAGTGCTTGTTCCTGTCTCCAATGTGGCGACACATCCAGGAGCCGTCTGAGGAGAATCCCAGAATCTCACATCCTCTTCAGCTCAGAAAGCGCATTTGATTACGCACAAGCGTGACCGGTCAACCACCGCAGACCGGGTTGGACCTGTTCAGGTTTACGCAGACAATCTACATTTAGAATTGGCATACAGGTGTAAAATTAATGCAGTAAAATATAAAGCATTTTATTTAAATATCCATTTATTATTTTACAAGCACAGAGAGTTGCATCAGATGGATGGAAGAGCCGCATGCGGCTCCAGAGCCGCGGATTGCCGACCCCTGTGCTAGCCTACTTTATTGTCCCCAGCAATTTTTAAACCCCACTCAAGTGTATGGTTATTGTCCCCAGCAATTCTGAAAACAAACTGACGCCCTTGGTTTCATTAAACAATGAAATAAAAAAAAATTATTCTCTTTCATTGTTTTCCCTCAGCTTCCCATTTCACCTGTCCAGTCAGTCTTTAGCTAACCTCACCGAGCAGCCTAGCCTGGCCTGCCAGACCCCTCCTCTGTTTACTTCTGCACAGAGACAGAGTCTGGGAACTCTCCTATTCAAATAACCCCGCCCCCGTGAGAATTCTAACCGAGCCAATCAGCGCTGAGTATCGTACGTCACACACCACCACGCCGAGTTTGTCATAAACATGGTGACTGAAGTGGAGTTCGCTGCGGCTCTTTCCTTTGTTCTGAATGACTTGAACATATCTTTAAAACCACACGTAGAAGCGCTAAAAGCCTTTTTTCCAAACAAAGACGTTTGCGCTGTCGCCAGACGCCATTTTTACTACCGCTAAAAAAAACTACAACGTCGCCGACAACGAAGACAGCGGCGGAGTTCGCTGCGGCTCTTTCCTCTCGTCTAAATGACTCAGATGTCTTTAAAACCACAAGTAGAAGCGCTAAAAGCCTTTCTTCTAAAAAAATAAAAGATGTTTGCGCCGTTGCCAGATGCTATTTTTTTTACTACAACTAGAAATCGACCGCGTCGTGCGGTACAGTCGGGATTTCCTTCTTTTTTCTGACTGGTCATTTTTGGGCTTCCTAGTCCCGCCCCTCAAGTGCCTCTCTGCCTGTGAGTTACCAGACTCATTCTCTGTGCAGAATTAATACAGAGGGCCAGGCTATGACCAGCCCCCCCTCCCCTCCCAGGTAAATAGTCCTTAGTCTACCAGTTAAGTCAGATCCTCCCGTTATCCTTCATGCTGAGTCTTTTAAAGGTGTTGACCTCAGGGGGAGGAAAAACTCAGATGTGCTTGTTTCAGAATGAGCCACATCAGAGGAGAGCTTAACACGACAGGATCTGATCTCTTATTTCCTGATTCGTGAACATCTCTCCTCTGATTGGCTAACAGCAACACGGCTCTACCACTGACTCTGTTCTGCAACGTTGGTGTTGTATCTCCACAAATAACACAAACCTGGAGAAGTTCTGCTGTGTGGTGGCGTTGCTAATGCTAACTGTTAGCTTCTACTAGCTGAGACGTCCTCTGCGGTTTCCTGGACGACGATAAACCAACAGCAGCCTTCCCCGTTGTGAGTCAAGATGGGTGAGTCCATGAATGTTAAGTGGCAGTGTGACGTAGATCTGTCAGGATTTTCTAATCCTAGAGTTTCATCGTCTGTTTTCTATCAGAACCTAAAGCAGGACATAGGTGTAGGAGAATGTTCATCTTGCATAAAAAAAAACTTAGAGTGACCAACTATAAACTGAAAAATATCCTGGTTTTCAGTGAACCACACCTTTAAACAAAACTACGAGACAGCTCCTTCTGCGTTCAGCATGGCTTCACAGAGCAGCGATGAAGTTTTAATTACATCCCAGACTCTCGTAATAATCTAAAGTGGCTTTAAAGGAGACATAACATGCTTTTAAGTTATTCCTTTTTACATCTAAATCCTTCAGTTGGGGGTCTAAAAACAGAGGAACTGCAGTTCTTTGGTCTGATTTCCTCATTATTGTTGCTCTACAGACCCTCATCTACCCCTGTTCTGAGGAGAGTCTTGAGAACGAGCCGTTTTGGGGTACTGTCTCTTTAAACTGGAGGAGGAGCTGTAAACTCCGCCCCCCTCCATAGTGCAGTCCTGTACTCTCCTCCCCCAGTCGGACTTTGTAGTTCTATAGAGAAATCATTATTTAGCATAGCAGATTTAGCATAGCATATTAGCATTTTTAAACCACGTGGGGAGAGTAGTTCATCAAGCTGTTTCATGGCTGCTAACTCTCTCATGCATTTGTCTGTAGTCACTCACACACACCCGTCACGGCCGACGGAGGGACAAGCGAGCAGGCACACGCGCGCGCGCACACACACACACACAAGGAATGCTGCTTGCTTATTTCTGTAAAAAATGTTTAAAAAAAATGATACAGCTCATTAAAACACCATTCAAAGAATATATTTTATTAAGATCTCTATCTATATACATACATATAATTATAAATAATTTTATAAGTAGTCTTATTTTATATTGGGTGTCTTAATGGCTGAAAATGGATAAAAAGCAGTTACATTTTAATTTAAAGATTTGAGATTCTAGTCAAAAATAAAGAACATTCCTCCAAGTGTTCTTTAATGTCATCATTATAATTCTAATGCTTACAACTTTGTTTTTATTGTCTGCAATGCGTAGCCTATATCTTTATTAAATGTGTTTAGCTGTAAAGTGGTAATTCTCTCTAATGTGTACAGAGAGGTGGACATCAGTGCTGCAGTGAAATTCCTAAGATCAGTCTGCTTTGCTAACAAATATAGTTAAATCTTACCTGCATTCTAAATAAATACCGTTAGGTGAAAACATCAGTAGGCATTGAGTTATTGATACAATCCCTAACAGCCAGAATGGAAGAAGAGCATGCTGGGTCATCCTGGACCTGAGCCTGTTCTGTGTATTTACCTACAGGATGCAATAAATGTCTACAAGGCTGAGTTTGGACCATTACATCTAAAAGAAAGCATACAATCAGTGATTTTTTTTATTGTTTACATTAATATACAAATTTTCTAAGTATTAACCTCACAGCAAATAAGTAGAACTATATAATAAACAGGTTTTAGTAGTTAAACAGGCGTTGTGCACACAGGTGCTTTGTGTCTCGGTGCTGGTGGTGTCTAGGTCTCAGAGTTCCTGTCCTCCTGCCGTCTTCTGTTGTCCTCAGGATACGGATTGATGTTTCCTGATGATGAGGGAGGGGCAGTATGTGGGCTTCAAACTGGTCCTGGACAACAGTGGGAGACCTCCGTTGTCTGAATACTGAGACCAGAGAGTTGGTGAGATGCAGATCTTCTCTACCTCATCTAGAAACGGAGTTGGTTCAGGGAAAACTTTTCCAGAGACCAGTTCCATGATGTCATCGCCATATTCTGCAATGATAGACAATAACTTTAATGACATATTTTGTTTACAAGCAGCTTTAGGAAAGTTGTTTCTTTAGCTTTCATGTTTATAGTCACGTTTGTGTTTGTTCACAAGTTCACTTTGCTGCAGTGACTTCATATTCTTACAAATGTAATAAAATAGTGACACTAAAATTATACAAATGATTCCTTATGAAAGGAAGCTCATTAGAGAGCAGCACAGACAGACTTACTACATGCTGCAGCTGTTTTTGTAGGCCAGCTGCTGCTGAATTTGGGGAAAGTTATTCTGCACACATCCAGATCAGATGGTCGATTACAGAAAATAATGTAATTCAATAATTTCTAAACAGACTAAACAAGTAAAACATCAAATAAATCACTCTGCTGTCATCAGACGGAGTGATTCAGGGGGTGAGGTGTTCTTAATGATGAGGGTGGCTGAGGTGTGTCATCACTCACTTTGGTCTGGTCCAGACCGTCTCTTTACTGGTGGGTCTCCTTCCTCAGTAGGTGACGTGAAACGCCAACATCTGAACGTTCTGTGTTCCTTAGAGGAGAAGAAAAGTAACATTAGCAAGCTGGCTAAATTATTTTTTACTAGCATCTCAAGGACTTGGAGAAGCAGATCTTCACTTACCTAAACATCAGACCAGTTTGTCCCAGCTGAGCTCATCAGGGCGTTAGTCTGACAGCCTGTCAGTGAAACACGGCTCCAGTCTTCTGGATGTGGACTCTAAAAAGCAAAGGAACATTTTTACTTTGTTTTAATTATTTTACAGCCAATTTTATCAGCTTTCCGACGCTCACGCTCATACAGACGGTGAGCTTTGCTGCGTCTGACTGATGCAGAGCTAGTTTTTATATCTGCAGTGAGACAAAAAACTAACCTCACTTCACTTAGAGATCGTTCTTTAAAACTCTATTAAATCCACTGTGTTGACGCACTTTAATGACTTTGTCACGCTGCATTTTAGCTGATATGGGACTTTATTTACTGGATGCTAAGATTACATCACACTCATGTAGAATAACACACAGGCTCTCTGCTGTTACAATCAGTGGGAGGTTATCATCTGGTGTAAAAGAAGGCGTTGATCAGAAATCACGTTTTATTCCACGAAAATCAGCCAAATCCACATTAATCTGGGTGCTAACTTTACTAGCATACTGTGCTAGCGATAGCAAGCCGGATGCTAACGCTTTAGTGCTGCTAATGCCCGTAAACCTAAAGTAAAGTTTGTCGACATTTTAGAGTGATATGAAGCTTACCGCTCTGCTGCTGTGTCCCGGTGCTGCCAAATTCAGATGGAAATAACTCCTTTTAGATAGATGAAGCCCTCAGTACTTAGCCACTAGCCTGGAGACAGAACGAACGAACCACGCGCGCGCGCGCGCACGCACACACACACACACACACAAACAAACGCAAACACACTACTTTTTCTTCTGTGTTTTTTTTAGCAGTAGTGTCATCAGCTCCTGGGTTTAAATACTGCCACACCACCCTTCCTTAAAACGAGGAACAGTTTTGAGCTGTGTGTGGCTAAAATAACCAGACATTCTGCATTTTTCCAATAGGACTACAAAAAATCTTAGCGAGAAGAAAAAATGGCGGATTGGCTCTGTGTTTAGCCGAGGGCCATTACCATATTTGGTAGTTATCCTCACTAAATTAATTACTGATGTAATAGATAATGTAAAAACTGAACGGGTGGACAAATATGCCCAAAACTTAATTATTAAATATCTAAATAGCAACTCCAGTGAATAATATAAGCCTTTTTGCTCACTTAGACACTTAAAATGTGAAACACACCGTGTTAATGGATAAAAAAGTGGGTTTTTCATGTTATGTCTCCTTTAATCCATAATTCTTCTGGCTGTGGCAGTTTTTCAACCCTTGTTCAGGATTATTTTCCACAGGAATGCTTTTGTTTGTTTGTCTTAATTCAGATCAATGATTCATTTGGGCATTAAAATGCTCCTAACTCAAGGGATGAGCCAGAGTTGTGCAGCACATGACTTAGCTCTGTTACCAGAAGTCAGCCACAAAGATCTTTTTAAATCCACATCGTTTTAGTTAAATCTATGAAAATACCAAAGAAAGAGCAGAAAGAGATATGGTTTAAAGACCAACAAGGTGATTCCCAAAGGGTTACAGACAAACACCCCAACAGGAGCGATGCAAGAGGGGAGGAGCCTGGAGTTCATCCAGCTTCCTCTGATGGGTTTGCAGGAATATGCCACTTTTTTATAAGCAGAAAACTCTTTCTAACCCCCAAAATTCCACTACCTCCGCTCCGGTCCACCCCCGCTTTCCACAGCCGCTCGCTTCTGAACTCAATTTTTACTGGTACCCGCTCTACAACGGCTCCGCTCCGGTGCGGAGACCTGAGGTGCGCAAACAAGCATGCGCGGGATTTTCGAGATCTTGCGATACAGTCCGAGCAATAAACGCGGAAGTTAGATCCAAACACCCGTTGTGTGGGAGAAGCATCGAAATGAGCTGTTTAATCTGCCCATCATTTGTGTTGAGAGATCAGCAGTGTTTGGATCAACAAAGGGTGACTACTTTGATAGTAGAAACTGTATTTATGGCTTATTTTTGTGCATTTAAACATCAGCCGCCATTGATAGTTGTTAAAAGTTGTTAAACCTGTGCATATGAAACCAAAAACGCCCTTTGTTTATCGATTTATTGTGAAAAACGGAAGATGTGCTTGCTCCCTTTCCTGTTGGGCAGTTGTGATTTCTGTCCATTTACTGCGGAGGTGCTCCGGCGTCCGGCGAAAATAGGATCGATTCTATTTTTGCCGGACGCCGGAACAGAGGGCGGCGCACGGCGCCGCACTGCCGGAGCACGGCCGCAGTAGTGGAATTGCTCTGATTGACTAGAACGGGACCGATTTTGCTCCGGCGTTCGTGTCGGAGCGGAGCGGAGGTAGTGGAATTTGTGGGTACACAGGTTAGTGTTTTTTTTTTTAATATATAAAGCATCACCAAATGTTAGCATGAAGCTAAAGCACATCAAACCTGTGAATGTGTCTCTCGGCTCAAACGGGTTTGCATCTTTATCACTCAGGTTCGGAGCGGAAAACAAGCTCGAGGCTGTTCTCGTTCTCTGTTACTGATGAATATCACGCTGGATTCATCTTCCAGGTGAGGAGGAGTTCTTCACTATTTACGTTTAAATTAAGAAGCAGCTGCTGCTTGTAGAGGTTACGGATTTGCCTTCTCTGAGAACAATGTCAGGCAGGTATCATGAGGTGGGGGGGGGCACAGGAAGTGATGGAGCTGATGAGTAATTGCTTTGTGTTTCTGGCAGGTGACTAACGCCGACGCTCTTGTTTAATGAAAACTACTCACACATAGAGCTGCTAAACACAAAAAAAGTTTTAAAAACACTTGTTAGCAATTAGCAAAACAAACGTATTCATCTGTTTACAGTCTACAAACACAGACGGTGATTTATACAATTCTCTCAGAAGTTTTTTATCGTTTTTATTAAAAATACATCTAATTGAGTCTAATATTTAAAAGTTGCATGTTTTACACAAAAACTGTATTTGTAAGCAATTCTATAAATTTCAAAAACCCAATAAAAGCTGTTTTAATAATCACAGGACTAATTTTTCATATAAAACTAAGAGTGTTTTTATTCTCCTGGAGTACTTCAACATATCTCAGGCAGCTGTGGCTTTCTATTCGTATCTATTCTTGTAGGTGTTGGTGTTTCCGTCGCTTCCATTGTGTTTCTCCTGCAGCAGCAGCTTAGCAGTTAGCATCTGCTGGAGAACAAAGCAAAGCTTAAACCAGACTGAGTGAAGGAATGATTCGTCCTGCAGCTAGACAAGCAAAATCAAGCTACAGATGTTTGATACCGGCCCGACATAGTGCATAAACAACCACCAACATCTGGTTTTTGTGTGCAAATAAAAAACTTATTTGTTCTCACATCTGATGAGTCACTAGTGTTAATCAGCTGCAGATGATTGCCATAGATGACAAGAAAACAAGTGAATAAACATTTTTAAACAGCGAGGACTTTAGTCGGGGCAGCAAGACTTGTTTTGTTTTTCTTTTGTTTAGAAACATTTATGGTTTTTAAAGTCACACGTGGAGGATTGGAATAAAAAACCTGCAGCTTGTGGACAAGCAAACACTTTTACTCACCTGCAAGAAAGGTGGCAGCTCATTTTGAGTTCAGCATTTTTTACAAACAGAAGCCTAATTCCTCCAAAAAATTGGGATTACAGGTGTTCTTGTGTGCTACCCTGCAGCAATTTTCATAGAAACTTCTGCTTTGCTTTAGCAAAAATGTCCAAGCTTGTTCAAGACTGCAGCAACAACCTGTTGAATGCGAGGGAAAGCCGTGAAGCATGTCGCACCCTCCTCGTCGGCCATGTTTTTTTTACCCCAAAGTCGCATGTAATCTGGTGAGATTACCCTTCTGACAGGTGAATGTTGGCGTGTGAAAATGGTTCTTGTGTGTTTAGCATTAGTGATGCACCGATATGAAATGTTATGGCCGATACCGATATTAATATAACAGATATTTGCCGATACCGATATTAATATAACAGATATTTGCCGATACCGATATTAATATAACAGATATTTGCCGATACCGATATGCTGATTAATGCCTCTAAAATCAGCAGATTTAGAATGAAAATGAATAAAGCTGAATTTGCATGATTATGGACACACACCACACACACGTACGCCTCTGAGATGATTCTCATCTCAAATAAAAATTTGGGCATCTTACTGTGAAAAAATACCATTAATGTAAAAAAGAAACTCTAAATAAACTATGTTCACATCCAGAATCAAACCCAGGTCTTCTGCACGAGAGTCAGACATCTTACTAGGTGAGCTACACTCTAGTAACATTCACAGTATCTGTAACATTTATATCCTTGATGACAGCTGAAACAACGTCAAACCAAAGAACGGTTCGGAGTGAAAATGGCTATTTTGTTGCTAATTAGCAGGAAATATCTAGAAGAAAGTTCTACAGAAAGTAGCTAAGGGTCCTCAGAAATGTAGCTAGCTTTGTCACTAGGCGTTAGGAACAGCGACAAAGTGGCACTGCCTCTCTCTCTGCTGCTAAAGCTACGGATAGCAAATGCTACGGGCGATGCCTGAGCGTGAACGCGCATGAAGCAGCCTGCTCGACCCGAGCATCTCTCTTTTTCTGTGATTTTACAGAAAAACAGGCAATCACAGTAACAATGCCAGGGCTCATTCTACAGGACCAGGGCATTGCAGGAGAATGTATGAAGAAGACATTTATTATTTCTATACATGTTTTGGCTGTCACACTTCCATAATGCCCCTTTAAAGATCTGCCTCTGTTCCCACGACAAAACCCTTCAGCCCAGCTGGTTGAAGCAGTTTTAGACATAACCTCGTCTTTGTGATAAATGGGTCTGGTACCAGAACCAGCTGCTGCCGCTGAGATGTTTGTAGGAAACGTGCCTCCAGCAGCACTGAGTCTCTTCTAAGCCTGTTATTGTTTTCAGACCTTTTTTTGTTGTTGTTCGAAGCACTTAAGCGAGAAAAATGCTCTCACGCTTACGAGTCACGCCGGGGATTTAGCAGCCAAGGTCGTTGAGGATTAACCGTGTTGGTCAGGGAAGGAGTGTAAATGCTGCATCGATTGAGAGCTGATGCGGTCATTGACAGATTGTGTCGATGAAGAGTCAGGAGGCTTGGGGGCAGGCCCTCGGTCTGCCCAGAGGGGGTTAACGCATCATTTATTTGTTTTGGGGTGTTTGAGTCTGAATGATCATCAAGGCCTTGTCCTTCAGTCCTGATTCATTCACGTTTCCGTTTACACCTTTCTCCCGCTTCCAGCCCGGCCGTCCCGTCTCATCCGTGTGTTTTTTAACGTTTTAATCTCGAGGACTTCGGCCTTTGGTAGCAGGTCTCCAGCTTGGGCTCCTCGCTGACAGCAGATGTGGGAACTAATCAAAGCAATTAGACCAATCAGAGCTCATCGTGGAAAAAGACGGATGTTACCAAACGAGGCTCGCTTTCTCTTCTCTGATCTTTCTATTCGTTTGCGCTGCATTCAGACAGAAATGTGTTTTCCTCGGCTGGGATCATTTGGAAAAATGTGATTACGCTGAAATAGATTTTCAGCGGTCTTAAAACACTTTAAATTAACACATGTCCTGCAGCTGATGAGCTATGATGGTTTTGCTGCATTTAGTCCCAAAATGTCTTCATTTTAGTTTCCCTTTGCTCGAGTTGCTCTCTGCTGTCCCGCGTGTTGGCACTTAAAGAAGAAGATCGGACGAGGAGTGGCGGGAGTCGGCCTGAGAGTAAAGCCGCTGCTCCTCCACGTCGACAGGAGCCAGACGAGGTGGTTCAGGTGTTTGGTCAGAACACCTCCTGGACGTCTCCATGGGGAGGTGATTCAGACACGTCCTGCTGGCGGGAGGGTGCCAGTTTGACCCATGACCAGGATAATACAACTAATATGTTTTAAACCGACTCCAACTTCCTCCCACAGTCCAAAAACATGACTGTTAGGTTCATTGGTCTGTCTAAATTGTCCTTAGGTATGAGTGTGTGTGTGCATGATTGTTTGTCCTGTGTGTCTCTGTGTTGCCCTGCGATGGACTGGCCCTCTGTCCAGGGTGTACCCCGCCTGATTGCCCTTTGACCGCTGGAGATAGGCTTGTTTTTGCAAGAGGAATTACTGCTCCTTGTGGAAGACCACAGACGAAGGACGAGGTTAAGAACGGGGGAAGTGCTGCCGCCTACAGGTCTGGCATGTCCTTATCAACGTATTTATCCGGGTACGTGTGGACAGGTTTTTTTAAACGAGGTGGTGTGGATGCAAGTT